GTGCTGCTCATAGGGGGTCATATGATTGTTGGGTTTTTCTCTGTATCTATGAAGCGCCTTGAGGTGACTTTTGTTGTGATTTGGCGCTATATAAATAAAATTGAATTGAATTGAAACATTTTTATTAGAGCTCTGATTTGATTTATTATGTATATTTAATAAGTTTTTTAAAATCAGTTTTATTAGTCCTGTTTTTCTGAGTCCAGAAAACATTTTATTTATATGTGCCTTTAAAGACCCTCGAGGTACAATAAAATAAAAACACAAGGTAAACAAAAAATGAAAACAAGTATGAAAGTATAAAAGCTAAATAAGGTAAAATAGAGTAAGGTTGAGTCATGATGAAGGGACATACACAGAGCAGGTCTGCCCTACCAGTTAACCGTGTTTGCCAGATGATGTTAGCTACAGTAGCTATGTTTAGCTGATGCATCAAAGGTTTAGTTGATATTACGTGAGCTAATGTGGCTAATGTGTCCAGCTGTTTCTTTGGATTCAAATTAATTCATTTGAAAATAAATGTTTTCATGTAACAAAAAACTTTAATGCATTATCTCAGCTAGAACCATGATTTCTGCCTGAGTCACGTCAGGTAGATTTTCAGTGGTGGTAAAGCTTCCCATGAGGCCACCATATTTCACGATGACATCAAACTGCATCTTTTAGTATTGCTTTGATTCTCAGACCCCGAGAGAAATGACATTGTGGGTTTAATGTCATTTCTCTACTGTCTTTGTTTACTGTCACTGTCTCTAAAATATTTTATTCTCTTGTGCCTTGACTGTTTGAAAGCTGTCATGGAATCAGGCGTTAGTGTTTATTGATGATTTGACTGTTGATTGAAATGCATGTAATGAATTTTGAAGTGTATAGTGCTAATTGAGTTTCTCAAAAGAAATGGGATGTTCTTCAACAGCTAAATCAGTCGCCTGATCTCAACCCAGCAGAGCATGCTTTTGCATTATTAAATACAAAACCGAATGCAGAAAGACCCACAAACAAGCAACAAGCAGGTGGCTACAGTAAAGTGAAGTCAGTGGGTTCTAGGCTTCAGGTATAGCCTTCAGGTGTATTTACATTTAAATTTATGTTTATGAAAAAGGGGGGCTGTGTGTAAAAGTTGTTGTAATTCTTAAGTAGTTCATGCAAAACTTTTGTTAAATGTCTTGAATAACTTTTGTGAATTAATGTTATGAATTCATTTTTTCAATGTCTGTACTTCAGTCACATATTGATAAAATAATGGCACATAATGACTGGAGTTCAACATTTTTTTTTCTGAATTATGTGTTGCAGTGCCTCCTCAGATTGTGGTTCGACCGCGGGACCAGATCACAACTCCAGGTCGTACCGTAACCTTCCTCTGTGGCACCAAAGGAAACCCTCCGCCAGCCGTCTTCTGGCAAAAAGAAGGCAGCCAGGTGGGAAACGTTCCATGATTTTGTTTACAGTAGTTATGAAACATACTCTAATGAGTTTTATAACGTTATTATAAAGATTTAATAGCCTTGTTTATGTACAGTTTATGTAAAGTCAAAACATCAGGTGTTTTCCACATTTCAGTACCAGTACTGGCCCCCAAACATCACAAAGCCTTTAATTACCAAGTACATACAGACCTTTACTTTTAACTCCAAGGGATTTGGTGCTAACAGTATTATGTGCATTTTTTAAATCTTTTTCTTTCAAAAAAGTTGATTTTAAGCTATCTGAAAATGTGCTGCACAATAACATCAGCATAAAATAAAGAAAAACCTAAAGGTGAATTGCATCATCACAAGCAGGGCTCTGGTAAAGGGGGGAAACGGTAAACTCTCATATTGTAATGAGCTATAGATACATTACTTTTTCTTATATTTATTTTACCCAATTTAAAGTAAATCCCAATATAACTTCACGCAACTTTTACATTTTTTAAATTTAAAAGAACACCTGACGAGATCAAAAAATGTGCTTTAAATGAGCCTTTATAGGATTTTAATTACCGACTTTGTTTGCATGCCACTTTGCTACATGTGCTTTGAAGAGAGCCAACATTTCTCTTCCTTGTCCTGGTCTCTGCTTTTATCGTCCTTCACTGTGTACTGTAGTTTACTGCCAGAGTGACTCTCTCTCGCTCTCTCTCTCTCTCTCTCTCTCTCACACACAAACACACACACACACACACACACACACTCACACTCACACTTTCCCATCATCCACACAGCGTATTATTTACCAAAGACCTGTACGTTTTCAGATGTGTTGAGACGTGTATGTGTTTGTGGGAGAGAGTCACCCTGTGATAAGCATTGCAGCCTGTTGGAATGCACTGAAAGGCCTGATGAGACTGCGTGGGTGCCTGTAGCTTGGCTTCCAGGTACAGATTAGGGGAACAGGGGGTGGCAGGGTAGGCTGGAGAATGTGTGGGAGAGGGAGAACGAGTGTGGAGGAGAGAGATAAAGCGGAGAAAGCATGGAAGACGAGGAGAAGGAAGAGAAGAAGAATGTGGGTAGCTTGTTCGAAATGTTGGCCCTGCATTCAGTGAAATGCTGAGATTTTACTGGGTTTACACAGTGATATATGACAAAGAAAAGTAGAAATGAAGGGAGGTGTTTGTCATTTATTATTGCACAATAACACAGGCTAAGTGTCTAAGGCTCATGGTGAATCAACCTGTTCTCACTCTATATGCTATCACAGCACGGGTTACCTTGTATTGCAATGCGTATATATACTTTTTTTAAGAGAAAGATACCATGTGATCACAGGAAGATGTCCTTTTTGTAAAAGAATGCATTTGAACTCTACGGATAATCTTTTTCTAAACCTAATGAAGTACTTTTGGCCCCCAAATCTAATCAAACATGACAACAAAAGTACTTATTATTAGAGGTGGGAATCACCATACATCCCACGATA